TTCCAACTTTTGAAGGAATCGCCATACTGCTTTCCACAATGATTGTACCATTTTACAGTACCACCAGCAGTGTATGAGAGTCCCAATCTCTCCACATCCTCACCAGCATTTGTTACTTTCTGTCTCGTTGAACTTTTCTACTAGTGATGGAACAAGATGGTATCTCGTTGTTTTGATTTGCATCTCTCTAATAGCTAATGATCTTGAGCATTTCTTATGTTTGTTGGCCGAGCCTGGAAACCTTACAGTGTGATTCTACTCGGTCCGATAGGGTTGCAATGAGTCAGAAGCAACTCAATGGTGATGAGTTTGGATTTTTTGGTTTGATCTATATTAAAGGCCAAAGATTATTGCTAGAAGACTAATTTGGTACTATTTATAGAGGAAAACAAAAACAAAAAACCCAAACCCACTGCCATTGAGTTGATTCCAACTCATAGTGACCCCCATTGGTTTCCAAGGCTGTAAATCTTTGCCAAAGTGGATTGCCTCATCTTCCTCCTGTGGAGCAGCTGGTGGGTTTGAGCTGCTGATTTTCTGGTGAATATCCAAATGCTTTGCCCACTATGCCACCAGAGCTCTTTATTTGTAGCGGTAGAACTTGCTATTTGAATTTTACTCACTTTGAGCAAAATTCCAAATATTTCTGGCTTCAGTATAAATACCTCCATCATAGACATACTAGTTTCATTTTCAGTCCTTCAGTTACATTTTAAAAATAATAATGATAATAAATCTAGGGATTTATCTGTGGCCTTGGCTTTTTTCTTCAGGTATTCAAGATAAACTGGACTACATCACAAATTTAAATGTAAAGACTATTTGGGTTACTTCATTTTACAAATCATCCCTTAAAGATTTCCGACATGGTGTTGTAGATTTTCAAGAAATTGATCCCATTTTTGGAACAATGAAAGATTTTGAGAATTTGGTTGCAGCCATACATGATAAAGGTAAATTAAGTGAAAGCTGGTGGGGTAGAGGTGGGAGCTGAGGAAAGCATTTCTCCAAATGTTTACTTAAAGCACTTTTTTTTCTTGACTGTTATGTATTATTGTAATACAAGTTTTTCTTAACATTTGCAATATTTTCATTCATAAGGCTTAAAATTAATAATCGACTTCATACCAAACCACACCAGTGATAAACATGTTTGGTTTCAATTGAGTCGGAACCGGACAGCAAAATATACTGATTATTATATCTGGCATGACTGTACCCACATAGATGGCATGACCACACCACCCAACAACTGGGTAAGTATCAACTTACCTGACTTACGTGAGTAAATGATCAGATCTTAAATGATTAGGCTGGTTATTTATAAAGTCCTTTTAAGAAAAAAATTAAGGGATTTAGTTTATGGCTAAGGAAAACTTTCCCAGAGAAATAGAAATAAGGTACCCTCACCAGCCACTCCTCGGAAGGAAGATGGGGCAATCTACTTCCATAGTGATACTACCTCAGAAACCCAAGGAGGGGTCGCTATGAGTCGGGTCCGACTCAACGGCACATAACAACAACAACAACAAGCCTTCTGAAGCCACTTCTATAGAGTTCTGCTTTCATTGTAGCATGTTGTGCTACCAATGCCAGCCACTTGGAATGGGATCAAAATCAGAGATCCTGGATAGAGTGGGAGAAAAAATGTGGAACAAGTCTCAAAATCATAAAGAAGACCAGCCTTACTGGTCTGCCTGAGGCTGGTCAAACCTCCGAGACTATGGCCCCAAGTCACCTTTCAGGCCTGGAATTGAACTCACTTCTGTGGCTTATGCTCAGCCAAACAGTAGACAGGTGTACAAACTGAGTTGAATGCCTATGTCAGGAGATGCCCTCCTTAGAACAATCAACCTTGGGAGATCAGAAGGGCAGCATTTGCACAAGGAGAAAGGTAGGCAGGCAGGAATGCATGGGTCAGAAGGACACAGGGAAAGGGTAACCACAGGGAGGAGTGGGAGGAGAGCTGTTACACTGTGAGGAATGTAACCAGCTCAAAACAAAATGTGTATGAACTGTTGAATGTGAAATGAAT